AATGCTGTCCGCAAATCGTAGTTTCCAGGCACAAAATTCGACATGTTCAACGCTATTACAAACTATACTGTTGTATGAAACTTGTATTGTTGTAAGTTGAAAATCTTTGTCAGATGTCAGAACAAGGAAATGGCGTCAATGACGCGGTCTGACGGCGACTACATTGACAGTTATGACCATCTATTGGTAAATTCCGGTTTCATATTTACATACCTGGTATACTACTTACTTTAATAACGTATTCGACTTTAAACAAACAAATTAAAAATACGGACTTACCACCTTATTTCCTGAATGCTAAAATAACAAGAAAAGATGTGATTTCACTTTTTTGTATTTCTTTAGCTAGCAATATATTTACGTCGTATCTTTTGTAGTTATATCTTAACAGGACAACCTGGACGACTTCCTGCGTAAAAATTTCACCACGGTGATGTCTTCATCTATTGGAAAAGTACCAAACCAGGATGCGCATAATTACCTGCTGCGTACAATTCCCCCACTGTCCCCTACTGATTTAGAACAATCCGTTACATGATTTACTTGTCTTAATTACATGATTTCGTTATGTAACTTTGTTACATGATTTTTTTCACTAAGGTTCTATGTAACTCGTTGGGAAGGCCTCGTTTGCCTACAAATTTTTTGCCTACAGCACCTTTTGCCTACATCTCTTTTGCCTACAAATCGATTGCCTACATGTATTATTGCCTACAGTTCGATTGCCTGCATGCACTTTTGCGTACAAATAAAAATTTTAGAAACGGAGTTACTTTTGCCTAAATGAATCATTGTCTACATGTATTATTGCGCACAATTAAAATTTCAAAAATAAATTCACATTTGTCTACATGTATTATTGCCTACAGCTCGATTGCCTACATGCACTTTTGCGCACAAATAAAAATTTTAGAAACAGAGTTACTTTTGCCTACATATACAGGGTGCGGCATCAAAATCCGGACAAATTTCAATTTAAATTTTTCGCTATATTGTGCCTCCGCCAATGGTTGTTGTTGGCGTCCAAGAAAACTTGATGTTTCTAGTAAACAGTTATATTATCAAAATGGCCGCGATGTTGAAACCAAGTGCGAAGTATAACCGAAGATCCGCGATCATCGAAGGCCTTCGCGCTGGGAGCTCGACTGAAATAATTCGGTTTTTTGGACCGAGATTAACTGTTTATGACGTTGTGGCAAAATATACGGCTTCAGAACAGTCCAATGAAGATTCTAGTATGCCAGCGAGGAAGATTCCTCGAAAGAACGCACCGCGAGGAACCCCACAGTCGTCAAAAGGGCTCCCAACAGCCCAGATTTAAATCCCCTGGATTACTATGTATGGAGCGTAGTTGAAAGGGTCACTAACAAGTCTCGGCATCCCAACGTGACGTCATTAAGAACTGCTATTGAGGCAGCATTCGTCGGCATGGACAGCGCTATTGCAGCGTGCGTGTGAACGCTTCAGACAGAGAATAGAGGCCAGCATTCAAGCTAATGGGGGATATATCGAATAATTATGCTCTATAGGGATCCCCCAAGTGCCATGTAAAAGGATTTTTTATAATATTTAATTTTTCATCAAAAACATTTTGTTTAAAGAAATTGTTCGATTTGTCCGGATTTTGGTGCCGCACCCTGTATTATTGCCTACATGTATTATTGCCTATAAGTATTATTGCCTACAGCTCTATTGCTTACATACATTATCGCCTACAGCTCAAAATTTTCCACGCGAAATGAGGGCTACCTCACATCAACAAATGGTTTGGTTAGAGTTAGATTTTTTTGGGAAAATATTCCAAGCGGACACTGTCTACGCTGACACCCCACTGTTCACATGAGAAATTTCCTAAAAATATAAATCATTTTCTTAATTAACTTTAATTTTATATTTGTGTGCCAAAGTGCTTGTAGACAATCGAGCTGTAGGCAATAATACATGTAGGCAAAAGTAACCCTGCATCTAAGAATTTTATTTGTGCGCAAAAGTGCATGTAGGCAATAGAGCTGTAAGCAATAATACTTTTAGGCAATAATACATGTAGGCAAAAGTAACTCCGTTTCTAAAATTTTTATTTGTGTGCAAAAGTGTAAGTAGGCATTCGAGTTGTAGGTAATAACACATGTAGGCAATAATACATGTAGACAAATGTGACTTTATTTTTGAAATTTTTAATTGTGCGCGAAAGTGCTTGTAGGCAATAATACATGTAGGTAATAATTCATGTAGGCAATAATACATGTAGGCAAAAGTAACTCCGTTTCTAAAATTTTTATTTGTGCGCAAAAGTGCATGTAGGCAATCGAGCTGTAGACAATAATAAGTGTAGGCGATAATACATGTAGGCAATAATACATGTAAGCAAAAGTAACTCCGTTTCTAAAATTTTATTTGTGCGTAAAGGTACATGTAGGCAATCGAGTTGTAGGCAATAATACTTGTAGGCAATAATACTTGTAGGCAATAATACATGTAGGCAATAATTCATGTAGGCAATAATACATGTAGGCAATAATATATGTAGGCAAAAATAACTCCATTTCTCTAAAATTTTTATTTGTGCGCAAAAGTGCATATAGACAATAGAGCTATAGGCAATAATACTTATAGGCAATAGTACATGTAGGCAATAATACATGTAGGCAAAAGTAACTCCGTTTCCAAAATTTTTATTTGTGCGCAAAAGTGCATGTAGGCAATCGAGCTGTAGGCAGTAATACATATAGGCAATCGATTTGTAGGCAAAAGGTGCTGTAGGCAAAAAATTTGTAGGCAAAAGGAGCTCCAAACTCGTTACTTTTATGAACTACTAAAGAAAAATAAAATTTCACTTTTTCTATATCGGATCGGTCTCTAAAACTTTTCTTATTATTAGGTGTTGAACTTAATTCC